CCATGTTGTTCGCTGAGCTGTGAGCTAATTGAATTAAATGGAAAAACCCAATGTCATGGCAAGTGCAGTGCAGCGCAGTCGTCATATGTCGAGTCGTTAGTTGCATGCATTTGGCATATGTGACAGGACCTTGCCAAAGGTTCAGGGATCAGGTTTTAGTTTTAGTTTTGGCTTTGGTTTTTTTTGGTTTGCTCGCTGCCAAAACAAATTTAAATCATTTGGGAAATTAATTTTATTCAGCATTCAGCATGCACGCAGCACACGTGCACATTGCATATTAGAGTTTGCGTGTGCGAATGTGAGTGTGTGTGTGCATGTTTTTTTGTTCTCAATTTTCTCTCAGTTTTCTATTTTGCTTTCAATTTAACATTTTCCATTTTCCATTTCGTGCAGATGCCACGGCACAGCGTTTCCTCAACACCGTGGACAGCGCCTGTGTGTTCCACAATGCGAGCTCGCGTTTCGCGGACGGCTTCCGCTTCGGCCTCGGCGCCGAGGTGGGCATCTCCACGGCCCGGATTCACGCACGCGGCCCGGTGGGCGTCGAGGGTCTGCTGACCACCAAATGGATACTCAACGGCCAGGATCATGCGGCTGCTGACTTTGTCGAGGGCGGCACACGCACCTGGCTGCACCAGCAGCTGCCCATCGATTAGTTTCCTAAGTGACTTAAGATGACTTCTGATATGATCTATGTAAATTCCCTGTAAATATTCGATGAGTAAATATTTCTGTTTCCATTTTCTACTGGCAAACGACTGCAGCATGTTATGGCGTTACATCGTAACGGATGGGTAATTACGGCTGCATGGCCCGTTGACAGCTGCCAGTCTCCGGCCACATGGGAGAAATTAATTCAAGTGGAAATTATTTGAGCGGGCAACTTGTTTAATTAATAAAATGTGTAGAGCCAAAGGGAAAACTGTCAGAGCGTGTGTCTTCGGCGCAAACTTTGTGTGCAAAGTGGCCATGGCCACGCCCACCACAGTTGCACGCCAACGCTGCTGTGGCTGCAACTGAAGCAGAGGCTGCTGCAGCAGCACCACCAACAGCAACATTGTTGACAGTGAAAATTAAATTAAAATGACTCAAGCAGCAAGCGCAAGCGCTGATTAAACTTGCAATTTTTCATAAATACAGCAAACACATAAAAAAGGAAAGAAAATGTAGAAAACAAAATCATAAATTAGCCATAAAACGTGAACAATTTTCTGAGCGAGAGAGAGAGTGAGTGGGCGGGAGGATTAGAGTGAGAGGGAGTCGCTTGGTATGCACGCGTCGTCGGGTATTTTAATTTTTATGTGCATTGAAGCAAGTTTTCAGCGCTAAGTTTTCAGTTTTCAGTTTTCAGTGTTCAGCTCTCAGTTTTCGCTGTCTGAAGCCTGGGCCAAGTTTATTTTAGTGCCGCACGCCGCATTGCGTGCCAAAGGGCCAACGTGGCCCCAACAGCCGGAACGCGATTTAACGTGCGCTCCGTGTGCTGTGCCCTGTCAACGCATCACGACTCCGGACTCTAGCTGGCACTCCACCAACATTTTGGAAGTTGCGAGCTGGGTCAGTTTGCGCCCATTTCAGCCATTTGTAGTACCAAAAGTCTCGGGTAGCGCCATTTTCATTCACAGTAGCAAATAATTGCCGGGGCTAGGCGAAGAGTTTGCGCCTGGAGATTAGGCTAATAAATGTGGAGTGATGGAATGTAGAAGAGATTATATCATACTCCTATAAAGCTGAGTGATCTAGAGATTGATTTCACATACTTCTACTTCTCTCTTTTGTACTTCTCTTTATATACAAAATAACTAAAAATTATATAAAACTCATAGCAAAGCTCTTCTTCGCCAAAGCTGATCAAATTTTGTATATAAATAAATTAAATTATCCAAAGATATAAATAATAAAATGAAAAATCATATTAAGCAAGCATTTGCAGACCTATAACTTTTCTTCATCATAACTTAATAATTTTATTATACAACAAAAGAACTTTTTTTCACTCAAATCTAAATCAAAAGTTGCAATTTTAAATATTTCTTTATGTATATGACAAGCTCTCTATACAAAATAAATAAAAATCATATTAAATATATTTTCGCAGACCTAAAGCTTTTCTGCATTAAAACTAATTAGTTAATTAGTTTTTTTTTTAAATTAAATTCAAATCGGAGTTTTTGTTGAAGAGATCTTTAAACTAAATAGATAAAATTCATATTAAGTAAACATTTTTTGCCTGAAACTTCATTATAATTTAATTTAGTTAATTAAATTCATGAAAAATAATAAAATCTCTATAATTTTGTTGTATTTGTATAAATAAAGTACCCTCACTTCTTTATGAATATAAACTATAATTATTCTCTTCGCATCACTAAGACTATTTAAATTATATTCTACCCATACACAGTCTAATATATTGTCCTCTATATGAGATTCAAACTCTTAAGAAGTTTATGCTGCAGCCAAAAATATGTCTAGGTTTTAGAGTTGACAATAGTTGACAAATATTTCGATTCCTTAACCAACACTAACTTTAACTGCAACTTTTCTCGTGCTCAGCATTTATTCCAGAGCATATTTCTATTCAATGCAAAATACTCGCCGTCAAAACGCAAATAGCAGAGAACGCAAATTCGTATTAAAAAGTGCAAAACGTGTTGAAAACTTTTCAATTGACCCATAATCCCTCCCAGTTTCTAGGCGCTCTCGTGTCTAGATAACAGGCTAGATATATCAACTGGCGTTCAACTCAAAGGCAACGAGCAAGCAGACAATGATACCTATATACACATACATACATATATACATATATATGTATATAGTGGCTGTACCTGCCGTTAGCAATAGTCACGTAGTTTTCAGATAGTTTTACCAAGCACTTGAGAAACTTCCCAACTGTCTGTGTGTGTGTGTATCTGTGTGTATGTGTGTGTGGATGGGTAGTGCGAACAGCAGTTATAACGACTGCAGTGGGGCGCTGCATAGCAGTTATCCAACTTGCAAAAATATAGAGAAAAATAAAAGGAAAGACATTCAGAAACTCTAGAATATCTGTGGCATGTTTTGTCTAATAATTCACTGCCAGCTAGAATTTTACGCTACACTCAATTAAAATAATAAACAGCACGCATATAAATCTCGTAGCTAATATTACGTTAAGATCGAGCGATATGCGAGTGCACTGCCAACCGAGAAATTGTCTGCACACTCACAATGTTAGAAAGTGCAATTTATATATATATTTAAATTATTTAGTTTTTTTTTTTTTTTTTTTTTTTTTTTTTATTTTTTTTTTTTTTTTTTTTTTTTTTTGGTTTTAAATGTATTTCATTTTTCTTTTTGTGTCGTTTGGGGCATCTTGGGCCGCACCATCTATGGACCGAGCGAGTGCAGGCAGTCAAATCATTTTGTCACATCATTGGCACAAATCTTCGTGATACACAGAGAAGCAGAAGAAGAAGAAGACGAAGAAGAAGAAGAAGAAGGCTGCTCGCGCCGCACGCTGGGGCCAAAGTATGTGGTGCAAGCATGCATTGTTCAGTGCAACGCATTTATTTATATAAAAACTTAAAAATATAACAACAACGTACGTACGTACCGCATATGCCTATACAAGTCCTGGCGCATCTCATCTCCCTCATGCAACGTAGCTGGCAACCACTGCCAGGCAGTGGCACACACAGGCATAATTTGATGAACATGAAATGATACAAGTTGAAAATTGGCAATCGACTATTTCATAATCTCGGAGATACCCTAACTGAGTATCTGTTTCCAAGTGGCATGTGAATGGGTGGCTGGGAAATTAGATGGATAGAGCAGAAAGTAAATATGAAATATATTTGACATGTAATGTATATAATAAAAATTCTTAGATTTTTATAGACTACAAAGAAATTAGTGAAAATAAATTTATTGAATTAATATTAATGAAAACAAATTAATGAAAAGAAAATATAAAAAAATGATGTTAATGATTAAGAACAGATTTTTATGAATTGAAAATCGATTAATGAAAATAAAATACATTATTATATTATTAATAAAAGAGCTTACACTTTTGGTAGCAGTTT